TTTAAGCCATGGGGAATAATCAGAGGTCTATTTTCTGAAAGAAAAAAACACTTCATATTGTTGATCATTGCAATCACTATCTAGGCAGATATATATTATATCTTTGTTATCTTTAATTTCGATGATTCTTTAAACTAAAACTTGTTGTAATACTACCTTTTATAATGGCCTTTGGCTGGTTCTGTGATAAAAAGAGCAAGACAGTAATTTCGAGATGTATTTCCTACATGACTCTGCTTTTGTGACTTTATCGATCCCAACATTATCTGAACTCTTTCTCCCCTAGTTTTGGGATATCAGATGAGAAGGAGTTATTTTAGTATCTCTTGGAGAATAACATCGATGAACTATTTTCATCCAACGCAGCATAAATTGTTTTGTCCGCAGCAGATTCCACCCAAAGAAGGCCGACTCTGATTACTGGTTATTAAGGTTTTTTTCTGCCATATGTCTGAATGGAAACGTGGCAGATTTTCCTTTGGGTTTCAACAAAGTGTTTTCTCAAATAGCAATGAAACGAGGTGATTGAAATGCCATAATAACAGTGGTGGTGGTAGATTGTTGCTGCGTCTTGACAAAACAGAGAAGTGGAGCTATTTGAAATCAGAGTTAACTTTTGGGTAAAGAGGTAAGGTCTCAAAACCAAAGATCAAATTTGCTGTTAGCCTAATTCTAGCTAATAACGAAGAGCATTTGCTTGTTTGGAGTCTCTGTGGACAGGTTATTAGTTCCTACCTCCTGAGACGAGAAAGGAACACCTCAGAATGTGGAAGAAAATGGCAAAGCAGCCCTCGTCTTGGTGATGTTTGTACTGGCTGTGCTTATGCAGGAGGAAAACGTCTTCTTTTTCCCACTCAGTAGCACTGCCAGTCCCTTTGGGGTGATATTTAATGGGGCTGGTCATTAGCCCAGAAATGCATAAAGGAGAATGCATTAGTCATAATTTGTCTTGATAAGGTTCTCTTCACTTATTCTGATACAAGACATGGATGTATTCTAAAAAAGAAGATAGGAGTGCTAGGAGTGCTGATCACAGTGGTTTCATTGGACTTCCTGAGGCACTGAAGTGAACGCTTAGCTATAAAGATAGCCAATATTTAGTGATGTGATGTAACTGTTTGGTTCCCAAGTCTGAAAACAAGAATTTATCTAAAATTATTGTGGGACTTTTTGATAAAACAATACTGAAAATAAAAGTCTTAAAATTTTGGGCATCATGCAAATTAAGACTAAAAATTATAATATATTATTTGACTTGGTGTCCAAAATTATGCACAAGGGTATTTTTTACCCTAATATTGGATTAACTCTATAATTTTTTTCATTTTTTCCCATATGCTTATTGGCCATTTATACATTTTTTTTAATTGGGGAAAATATACATAGCACAAAATTTACCATTTTTAACTATTTTTAAGTGTACGATTTTGTGACATCAAGTACATTGACATTGTTGTCCAACCATAATCACTATAAATCTCCAGAACAGTTTCATCTTCCCAAACTGAAACTCCATTCCCACTAAACAGTAACTCCCCATTACCTGCTCCCTCCACCTTTGATAACCCTATTCTACTTTCTGTCTATGAATTTGACTAGGTACTTCACATAAGTGAAATCATACAATATTTTTCCTTTTGTGTTATCAATTCTTTTTTTAAGCATCTGATTTTATAAAAGCATACAATAGTCACAATTTAGACCAGAAAGAGATCAGTAATGCCAATCTACTTTCATGAACAGGGGAGTTGATAACTAGAAAGTTAGCTAGTTTGCTCTTCTAACTTCTAGTCCAGAATACATCTTATCCAATTTAAGATACCTCATTAGAATATCTATATTCACTATTAGAATATAGTGAGTACCTATATTCACCATTAGAGCACCTGTATTTACTTTAATGACATTTGGACTAAGAAAGTCTTTACCATGTCTTACCCATCACCTCTCTACTGGTCCTATATTTAGCTGCCTTTAAATAAATTGCCATTAAATCAATGATGATAAAGATAGCTAGTATTTATTGTGTACTTATTATTTGACAAGCTTAGTGCTGTGTTATATATATATATAACTTAGCCTACACAACATTTTATAAGATAGGTATTCCAATTACTCCATTTATAAATGAGGAAACTGAAGTATGAAGTGTGAGGTTGCCTCCACTAGGTTGTACAGCTTGTAAGTGTTAGAGCCAGGACACTGGATGACAAAATTTACCTAGTTGATATTTAATAAATAAAAATTAGTATGTTAAAATTGACTGGGTTTGGGCAGTCTATTAAAATTAAGGAAATATGTGAAATTTTCATGTTTTACTTTTGTTGATTATGCTGTTTTCATTGGTTAATTCAATTCCTTAGTACATAAAATGATTGCCTGCTTAGCAAAAATCAAAGATAATACTAAATTGGTTAAACAGTAGGGTTTGCAATAACATTCAAATGTGTAAAAATTTTTAAAATAATTATCTTTGATTCTCATCTACATTTATGAATCTGTATTGTCACACATATATGTTAGGCATTAAAGATATTAGTGACCATAATACCTATGGAAGAGGGATAATACCAAATTAATCACCAATATGGGCAGAATAATAGGTGATAATGCTTATAACCTAGAGGAATTTAAAGTTTTGCATCATAAGTCCACATTCTTGGATAGATCAATGTCATCCATTAGGCTATGATTTTCTACTTTACTTTGGCTCTATTATTAATTTGCCCATCAATAGAAGCCAAGTCTATCTTCTGTGTGTTGGTTTTAGGGTTCTCCCAATCCCATTTAACAGTCAACAGGATGGGTCAGTGGAATACCTAGCCAGTCAGCAGAGTATAGTCGAACAGTTTTCAGCCAGGAGGTTGGCAGAAGAGGTTGTGGGATATTCAGTGAATGACAATATCTCGCTGATAAAGATTCCAGTAATGGTTCCTTTCTCAGTCTTCCACATCACAGCAATTAGTAATTAGAATTTCATTAGTCACTTTCTCTCTGGTAGCTCAACTCCATACACAGTAATCTCCAAATATCACAGATGCATCCTTGTAACAAGTTGTTGGAGTGGATGCTGCTGCCAGAAAACAAATTGTCCTTTTGAAAGAAGTGTTATAGTAGAGTTTTATTATAGTCTGGCAATGTAGAGGTTTCGACCACTAGATATGAAATAAAATACACATTGAATTTTTGTTTTTAGGACACTTGAGTAATTTATCATTAGGAAACATTGTTAAATCTTCTTTCTACTTAAAATATTTGATTACCCATGATAGACAATTTTTCCTCTTTTTGGCACAATCCTTATTTTTTCTAAAACTATTTGCTTTACCTATAATTCTCTGTGTTTGTTCTTCTCTGCATACCTTAAAGAGAAACAAGCACATATCCACCAGGTACAGTGGATCACACTTGTGATCTCAGCACTTTGGGAGGTCAAGGTGGGTAGATCATTGGAGGTCAGGAGTTTGAGACCAGCCTGGCCAACATGGCGAAACCCCGTCTTTACTGGAAAAAAAAAAAAAAAGAAAATTAGCTAGGCATGGTGGCACGTGCCTATAATCGTAGCTGCTCAGGAGGCTGAGACATGAGAATCACTTGAACGTGGGAGGCAGAAGCTGCAGTGAGCCAAGATTGCGCCACTGTACTCCAGCCTGGGTGACAGAGTGAGACTCAGTCTCAAAACAAAACAAAAAACAAACGACAACAAAAAAGAGATAAGCACATATCTTGGATACATATAAGCAGATATGTGATTAATGAAACAGAATACCCACATATAATAATATCTCTTCTTTACAGAGATTCAAAACCAATAGAATATATAGATATGATTTATTATAAAGAATTGACTCACTTTGAATATGGAAGAAAAATATTTTAATCTCTAATATTGGAGAAGAATTTTATTCTTACTCTAAACATTTGCTTTAGGGCTGGATCAGTCCAGGACCAGAAGGAAGAGATGGCGTTCACCCCTAGATTCTCCAGATGTTAGTGCAATACCTGGAACAGATCACCATTGGTCAAAACTTAGATTCTCAATTTTTACTGCTTATTTTCATCCTGTTACTCATGTTTATGTCACCTGTCTCTCTCCCATGCATCCCTCCCTCTCCTATTTCACAATTATTTTCTTCAAAATACTCTTGCCTGGTGACTACATCCCCTACTTAGTCATCATAATTTTTATATAATATATATATTGTTTGTAATGTGTCATTTTCTTTTATACTGTTACATTATAAACATGCTGTGTTAAAATATGTTAAATTGGTTTAAACAAGTTTCCTTTTTAGATGCCTTTAATTTAGCTCAGATTGGTCTAAATCCACGAAGAACCATATATTAAACACTCTTGAATAGCTTCTATGAAAAGAAACTTAATTTATGATGTTTAGTATTATACATTATACAGTTTCTTTATTTTTCACTCAGTTCATCATGCTGTGAAAATTCATGAATATTTAACTATTAAATGAAATGCAAAATTTTCATTATCATTTTATTGAAAACTTGACATCTTAAAATACCATACATACTATTAGTATTCTAATGCATTGTCACCTTATTGAAAAATGCTGCTAAAAAACAATACAGCCATTCAGAAAAAAAAATTTTGTCCGCCCAAGGCTATTAACTATAGTTCTACACATACATTAGTGACAAATAAGTGAAGCAGCCAATGCTCACAAAAGATGTCACTAAAATGCTAGGAAACAACTGTAACCATAGAAACCATCTCACACTGCAATCTGAACATCTTTTGTCAGTGTGTGACTAGAAATGAGATGCTTAAAATCATTAGACTATCAAAAAATCTGAACATCTCTCCATTGAAATTTACATATTTAAATATTTTGAAACCTGCAAAAACTTCAACATGATACTTCTATAAAATATTGTTTCAGCGCCTAGCCCTCAACTATCAGTTTAGATATAACAACAAAAATTATACATGAAGACTTACAATTTTCCCCCCTCTTTCTTTAGGTTACATGCATTGTCTGAGGAGCCTAAACAAACACCCGGGAGAACAGAGGTTAGCTCCCAGGGCTGTCTACCTTCCTGCTCTAATCTTCACAATGGTGCCATTCTTCACCTTTCCTTTCTCTCTTGAACAATCACTGGCTTAAATTGTACCTATTCCAGCAAGACAGGTTTGCAGGTTTCATAAGCCTTCATGACAGTAAGTACAAAATTGTCTTAGATAATGAGATATTTAAATAAAGAATTTGACAAACCAGTGTAGGAGAGCGTGAGTTTGGATGAATGTGGAACAGCCTCTGCAACCTTGGATATAGAACTGAGTTTTTTCCCTTGTCTTCATCTTCTCAGAAACTCCTGAAAGGTCTGGTTATTTAGCTGAATGCTCTGTGTTTAAGGGGCAGTGGAAGCCATTTTCCTTGAAACCTCCCTTGGAAACTAAAGGTTAAGAAGCTCCTTGAGCAGCCTGGATTATGGAGACTTTAAATATTTCTAAATTGTTCTCCCTACCTCTTTCAGTCACCATTCTGAAAATATTTATGGAGTACCCATAATGTGCTAGGCACTGTTCTAGGCACATGGGGGCACAGCAGTAAACAAAACGACGTTCACTGCCTGTGGTGCTTACATCTTAGCAGGAAGAGACAAACAGGAGATAATTAACAGAACAAGTACACAAGAAGTCTATAGTATAGTAGTTTTGAGTACCTACCACATGCCGGTCATTGTTCTAGGCTTTTGGGACCTAGCACTGGATTAGACAGGCATGACCCCTGCTCTTCTGGAGCTTTCATTCTGAAGAAATCATAAGGAAGTATTTAGCAAATGCATGAATGCATAAATGGAGTGCTTCATCTCTGAGACTTCATCATTATGATCATGGGTGGAGGGAGCATCTCCAAGCCCCCTCCGTGTTGTCAGCAGTCGACGTGACATAAACAAGGAAGTTCCGTGGAGCAACCCTCAGTGGTTGACCATGTATCTAAAAGACAGTGTCCACTTCCCTATTCCTTTCTTGTCATTATATATTTTTTTCTGATTTCCAAATCCTCTTTTCCTCTTTTTTTTTTTTTTTTTTTTTTTAGAAAATGAAATCCCTGTCCTTCATGAGCAGTTAATTTCTATTTGCTCACTGCCAAATAACAATAGTTTTTTTCCATAAATATCCATAAATCAAGCTTATCAGAGAGTTAATCATGTAATATGTAAAATATATATATAGATGTACAAAGTGAAACACATACACACACCATCTTTTTGAATACTTACTGTGTACTGGGCACCATTTAAAAATATTATTTAAGCCTTAAGAGAGATTGCTGAGGCCGGGCGCGGTGGCTCAAGCCTGTAATCCCAGCACTTTGGGAGGCTTAAATAATATTTAAGGCGGGCGGATCACAAGGTCAGGAGATCGAGACCACAGTGAAACCCCGTCTCTACTAAAAATACAAAAAATTAGCCGGGCGCGGTGGCGGGCGCCTGTAGTCCCAGCTACTCAGGAGGCTGAGGCAGGAGAATGGCGGGAACCCGGGAGGCGGAGCTTGCAGTGAGCCGAGATTGCGCCACTGCACTCCAGCCTGGGCAACAGCGTGAGACTCCGTCTCAAAAAAAAAAAAAAAAAAAGAGAGATTGCTGAGATGGGCATTATGATCTTCATTTTTCAGGTAGGAAAACTGAGATTAGCATAATACACTAATTGGCCCAAGGATACATGGCTAGTGTCTGGTATTGCTGGGACCTAAACATGAACCCATAAGACTTTAAGGGCTATGCTTTTCACCACCACTTTTAAGTCATGCAGGGAGAAAGGTCCTTCTCCCCAACCCACCATGTGCCCCAAGAGGACTCTCCCAAGGGACAAGGCCTGTACTTTGTCATGGTGGTCACAGGGCTTCTACACTCTGTGTAGGTGGCTCCTTTTGACTCACCACATTCCAATCTCTTCTAGACACAGCTGTGCAGCCTCCACGAGCCCCAGTGTGCACCATGTTCATCTGCAGCTGAGCATACAGAGATGGGGTTAGGAGTCAGGTGAAAGGGGGAAAGTTTCTATGGGCCGTTCATTTTATTTTTATATTTATTTATTTATTGAGACAGAGTCTCGCTCTGTCGCCCAGACTGGAGTGCAGTGGCGCGATCTCCGCTCACTGCAAGCTCCACCTCCCTGGTTCACGCCATTCTCCTGCCTCAGCCTCCCGAGTAGCAGGGACTACAGGCGCCCGCCACCACACCCAGCTAATTTTTTGTATTTTTAGTAGAGATGGGGTTTCACCGCGTTAACCAGGATGGTCTCGATCTCCTGACCTTGTGATCTGCCCACCTCGGCCTCCCAAAGTGCTGGGATTACAGGCGTGAGTCGCCACGCCCGGCCCAGGCTGTTTAATAATGACCTCCTGTACACAAATGTTTAGTATCTTATGACCTCCTGTACACAAATGTTTAGTATCTTAAAGTTGTAAGGGACCACGAGGAAATCTAACTCCTTCATTTTATTGATGTGTATATAACTGGCGATTTAGAGTTGACATGGATTGCCTAATTACTTCACTAGCCAGGTAGCAGCAGTAGAACCAGGTATGAACCCAGGAATTGTCTCCCAAGTACGTACTCTTTTAAGAATAAACTGGCTCCTCTGCGTGTTTCCTGTGTGCATGTGTATGTACAAATATGCAGAGATGATCAGCACACTCACACATACACATGTACTCTCTGTATATATTGAGAGTTCTCTGTATGCTTACATTTGATTTCCAGTATAATTTTTCTTCTGGAATGTCAACTTTGTTTCTCATCTGTTTTATTTTACAGTTATTTAAACTTCCAACTGTAATGTCACAAGCAACCTTGACTCATGGGAGGGCACCAGAGGAGGAACTAAATGACTTTGCGTCTCACTCACCAAGGCCTCCACTTCTCCCCACCCCCTCAGTCCCTCCCACAGAGCTGACACTGTTGTTACACTTCAAACCATTCCAAACCCCCACGGTGAGAAACAGGGCTGTGCAGATTCACCTGAGAGTATGAATTCATGAGTGTTTCCTAATCTATATGTTGTATATCTGCGTACATGTATATATATTCTGCATATAAATAAAATATGCATCCAGTTCAAGGGCCCACACATGGAATTCTCTTTTCCCTTCAAAGTACAAGTGTGCTATGAAATAGTTACTCTATGTTTTCAGAAAATAGAGAAGACAATGATACTGAGTTTTTTAAAAGTCTGATAAGTGAACAAAACCACAAAAATATAATAAAAATGGCACAGCAACTTACTTGTTGCCCTTCTAGTCAAGAAAAGGCTTCGAGTTCGTTTCTCAATCACCAAAATGATATGGAATCTAAAATATAAGTGTTTTTTATCCACATTGCAGTCTAATATCCAGCTGTTTGCTTTTCTTCCAGCACCCTGCTGCCCACCCCGCCTTGCCCTGAGGGCAGGAAGCACTATTAATCATTCTTCTGTTCAGTATAGAACTGGATTCTTCTCTGTGCCACAGGCCCCCAGGGCAGGGGGGAAACCTGCTTAGGCAGACCACCCAGGATTTCACAGAAAAGTGGTCAGTCTGAATGCAGGTGGTTGGTCTCCTGCTCAGGTTTCTGTTAAGACCCATTAGCTGAGCTGTAATGGGCACTTGGGACTTTTAACTCCTTCTTTCCCAAGTCTTCGAGACATTAAAGCATTGTATGCTCCTGCCTCTCTCTCTCTCTCTCTCTCTCTCTGTCTCTCTCTCTCTCTCTCTGTCTCTCTCTCTCTCTGTGTGTGTGTGTGTGTGTGTGTGTGTGTGTGTATATGTATTCCAGGGGAAATACTGCTACCACCGCAGAGTCTCCGGGACCAGCAGCTCTGGTTCTGATGAGAGAACACCATCCAGAAAAAAGCCATGGCTAGGATCTAAGTCAGGGCCAAGAAATTCCAGCAGGCACCTATTAGAAAACTAGGGAGTGCCCTGAATACTGCAACTGAAGATTGAGCTGATTTTTAGGGACTTAGGGAAGACTCGCCTGAGACCCCAAGGGCTTCCCCATCAATTTTGCAATGATTGAAAAATTACCATTACAACTTTGTTCCTTTTGCTTAAGATTTTATCACCTGTAAGAAGGCAAGTACCCTCAGGAAAATCAGCGTATTAAGCCTTATGAATTAAGTAAAACTTTGAAGAAAGAGTTGGTCCGACTCATCCTATAGTTTTGACAGAAGGAGTAAAAATGTAAGGAGGGGATAGAGTAAGGGCAGGTGGAGGCATCAACAATAGAGGGAAAGGAGGAAGGAGGGGAGGCTGGATTTGCTGAAAACACTTCTCATTGTTAGTAAAGATGATGATAATTCAAGGATTTTATCTGAGGGGTGGAGGAGGAAGGGAAGAATGGGGGTCCAGAGGGAGAGAAAGAGAGAGATTTATATTGTTTCCAGAAGCGAATCTGTAGGGATCTGCAGCAACGTCAGTTATTGCCTCCTCAGAAGAAAGAATTCAACTGAGAGGCATAAGGCAGAGTGAGAGACCGAGGCAAGTTTTAGGGCAGGAGTGAAAGTTTATGCAAAAGCTTTAGAGCAGGAATGGAAGGAAGTAAAGTACACATGGAAGAGGGCCAAGTGGGCAACTTGAGAGACTCGAGTGCACGGTTTGACTTTTGACTTGGGCTCTAATATGTTGGCATGCTTCTGGGGTTGCGTCCCTGATTCTTCCCTGGGGGTGGGTTGTCCTCATGCACAGTGGCCTGCCAGCACTTGGGAGGGGAGCATGCACAGTGTGTTTACTGGAGTTGGGCACATGCTCACTTGAGGCTTTTTTCCCTTACCAGTTGAGTGTTACCAGTGAAACTCTGTCATTTTGCCTCTTAGTGGACATGCTTGGGCACACTCATCCAGCTCCTGAGATCTTATCTGGAAGCTGCTGATCACCAGTTTCAGGTGTTTCTATATATTGGGAGACTGCCTTACCCTGGTGCCATCTGTGACCAATTATTATTTTAGAGAGACAGCGTAACAACTACCTGACCAACACCTGATGGACACCTGACATTCCTGGTGAGGGGAGGGGGCCCTCTCCTGCCCTGTTACCTACTGTAACAATGCTTTAAATGCAAGCTCTAGGTAAGAAGGAGATGATGGTTTTCATAGAGTAGACACTAAGATAAGATAGAGGTTGATGTCATCATAGTAAAATTCTTGTTAATAATGCAGGTTGAAATCAATATTTT